GCTGTTCATTCAAAAATCCGTAACAATACTTTCACTAAACGTCAAATGCCAATGTTACAAATAGTAGAAATTCTTTATTGTATTGATATATAAAGGTGGTTTTTGCAGGATATTATAACAGTTCCTGGCCTTTTAAAAGTTGTTTCCTCGGAAATGAGCTCCCTACAGGCAAACGCCGTAAACAGGATTTCTTTAGATGCTTGAGAAAACCATTAGTAAATGCCAAAGAAACAGTGTAAGGTAATGACAACTTGAGACTAATTACAGGCTTGCAATGTAGGTGGCCAGAAAGTATCAATTAATACTGACTCATGGTCAAAACTTGTATCAATAATGACAATGGTGGAGAATGTAGCAGTCCACCATACTGACCTGGGTATGAACTCACCTTTGTGTATGAAATTATAAGAAGCTTTTTCATGTGAGAATCACAATGGAAATAAGCCTTCAGACTTGTGTCGTCCTCAGGGTTTTTGTGGGTTTATGTGAATGCATATTGTATGTTCGGAATTCTGAATTAAGTAATATCAGGCCTACCTCCTAGCTTTTGAGTTATTCTTATGCAAAAAGGTCTATTCATTATGTGAACAACCTAATACTTATGTGTATAATATATCACTTTAATAAGCTAACTTCCTAGTGCTGGAATAATTGTGTGCCTAAGAACAACTCTGAAACTACAGTAAACCAACTATCAAATTAATAATACATTAAGATATGTTTGGCTTTAATTAAATTTAGCATTAGAAATAACAGCTTAATTTGTAACTGAAAAAGATAGCCGAAAACAAATATTGTACATGTATCTGTAGACTTCATAGCTGTAATGAGGATGACAGAAATGTCTCCTAGAATATTAATAATATACATTGTTTTACTGAAGTTAATTCATAGAAAATTTCTAATTATACCATATTTGTTTAATATTGTTTAGGGTTCTGGGTAGTAGGGATAGGATGGGAGGGGGATGGGAAGTGACAGAAGATAGTCAGAGATAATCCAGGACAGGATGATGTTTATTATATAGCTGGGCACAGGCATCTCATGACAGTCGTACCACTGTAGACCGCTAAACCCATCGTAGCTCTCTGTGATTGAATAACGACACAACACCGTCTGCTGATTGTGGGGGGCAATCTGAGCAGATCGTCACTAAAAACAATGCGTTTAACGCAACTCGTCACGTTGTGTTTTTCCGTGTAGTGTGTGCCCGACATTAGTCAACAGTTAAACCATGTTGCCCTACAGTGCCTAACTTTTTTTAGGAGCTTGCATTTACATTCTTAATATTCTAATTATTCATCATGCAATCCAGATGGTATATTCTTAGACTAAGATAAATATAAATAAATTCTCTGTTTAATTTCTTAAAATCTGTCAAGTTTGCTGTATTTAGATTTGATTTTTGCTACACGAATGAAGTATTCAAAGAATAAATATAGGGTAGGAATTACTTTTAGGTTTAATTTGCTGTATTTTATTTTGCCATGATAAAAGCTAATGCATTGAGGACATTTTCAAGTAGGCCTAGAGGTTTGAAGAGACTATGTACTACTTGTATACAACATCTTGCTTCACTCGTATACATCTTGCTTCACTCGTATACATCTTGCTTCACTCGTCTTAATTTGTTTCACTAGAAAGTTTATTTTGCTTTTACTGCTACATTTCCTTTAGGAACTACGGTATGCAATCATTCTGAAATAGATAATTAGTGAGCCAAGCATGTAACTACACAAGTTAAATTTCCTGTCTGCGATCATCTTTACTGACAGGTCAAAGGTCGCATGTAGTGTGATAATTAGTAATTAGAGACAAAATTATATATGTGGTAAAATAATTATGTTAACTTAGTTGAATGATGTGGCATTGAAATGTAATGAACTATATTAATTTATATATTTCAATTACAATTAAGTTTTAGGATTACTTTTTTTCATTTAAAAAAAAAAATATCAAATATTTTTTTATTTAAACATATAGTATATAAATTCTATCTTATTGCATTTCATATCATTTGTAATATAATACAAATGACATGAAATATAATATGATTGCATATCATTAAAAAATTATTCATTAATTTACAGAATATGTATATAATACTGTTAACGATATTCCGATATATAGATCTTAATTAAAATATTATGTTTATCTTTCATGTGATTGGTTGAGCCGACTGACCTATTTTCGGCAGAGAAAGGTCACACAGAACATAATTAGCCATATCATCTGAATGGCAAGCAAACAAGCAACACTTTTGTCGAAAGTAGAGCTATTCAAGCAGTAGTTGACAGTTATTGGTCAATACAGTTCATGAGGTCATATTAAACATTTTAATTTTTGAGAATTATGGCTTTTTTTTTTTTTTTTTTTTTTTTTTTTTTTTTTTTTTTTTTTTTTTTTGAAGTTCATGAATTAGTCCATTCTTTGTGATAAAACACAAACCATGTTTCCTGTCTGAGAAGGTATGATGTGGTCTTCTTCTGGCTTCTCCCCTCCCCTCCGCCTCTCCCAAATTAGCCTTGTCCTGCACTAGGCCTTGTCTAACACAAAAGCACTGGTACTCATAATTGGCTGAAGCTTGTTTAATGTGAAACTTAAATATAGTTAACTGGATTACTATTTTTCAATTAATTAGACTAAGATTAATGTGAACCACTGGATTAAATCCAGATGAAGGTGTTACCTGGACTATTATAATAATAATAATTATTATTATTATTATTATAGTCAGGATAACAGTCCAAATAAGACTTGTATTCAGTCACCATAAACCAATCATGTTCTATTTCACTTAATTTTTTAAAGTTTCATTACTTACTGCTTCTCTAGATAAACTAGAAAAAGTAAAATGTGAATGAATACTCAAGTTTACCTTATTTCAAGAATATAGTATTGTATATAACTCGACATATGTTAGATGTGAACAAGACTAAAACGTAGCAAAAAGGACATCAATGGGACAAGAGATGTGCTTGGTTTTTATTTGATAGTTTACAATTTTTTTTAAAATATGGTAAGAAAGTATCAATCACTTAAGAAATGGGTTACTCTAATTTGCAATTCCTATACAACAATGCACCGTAGGCATGCATACCAGATACAGCGTGGGCATGTACACATGATCCAGGCAGGAGAATAGAATGTCATGTAAAGTGTGGTCTACCACATATACAACATAGTTTTTGATTTATATGCAGACATAGATGTTTTCCCCATACTGTGTATAATCTGCTGTCGTGTAGGACCTAGCTGTTTTGTACATTCAATGATGGTATGACAAATGTAATGAATATGATATAGGGAATATATATATTAAAGTGTATGAATTAATATGAGATATGGGTTATAACAAGGTCTTACTGTTTATGTAGAAGTGTTTTGAAAAAAAAAAATGTTAGTGAATGATGATGATCTTGCTGAGTAACGTCAATCCTGCTAAAAGTTTTTTCTGCATTTATATCCCATGATACTCTGTTCACAGCTAAGATACAGTCCTAATGATTTGCGACTTATGTATGCCTCGTTTTCGCTGTTTTTAAAAATAATTAATGCTTTACATTTAACTGGTAAGTTCTTGTGTGAAGCCATAATTCTTTAAAACTTGGCTATGACTTGTCCTTTTTTAATGTTCTAAGCCCATGATGTTTTAATACTTGGCCATTAATGTTTTTTCCCTGTTCTGAATGCAAGAATGAAAAGGGCTGGGCCTCTTTCACCTTATATGTAGGGGAAAAAAACTTGGACAAGAAACAATTTTGTACTAATTTAATACTAATTTAATAAGTGTGTTATTTTAAGATATATGCATCATCAGTAAAAATTCATTGATGGCTAAATTTCTTTTATTATATGCAGGATTAAAATGTTTATAGAGGTTTAAACATGTTCAATAGCATTATTTTAGCCAGTGGTGTGTTTTTTAAAGAACTAACTCAACTTAAATATAATAAAACACGTCTCTTCCCATGCCCCAATTATCTTGAATAGAGGTAAATCTGTAGGTTATTCACCAGCCTTGTGAATTTAAACAGCACTCTGTACGCAACAGTAACTTCATACCATGCTAAATGCAGATTATTGGTTAATGTACCATTAATGTTATTTGTTTAGTTCATGCAACAAACCCTTTTAATTACGACTCACATTATGCGGTATCGGCCTTAATTATGTTTTATTAAAGATGTGACTGACAGTATTATAAGTATAGTAATATTATTTCTTCATGATAGTTGAAGACGTGAAAAATTAATGATCCATGTTAATATTTACTTATTATAGTAATCATATACAAAAGAGGGCCTAAGCATTTTGTTCAACAATCCAAAATGATTTTCCTTTCTGTAAACTCAGAAAGGCATTTATATTTATATCAAAACAGTTTGGTGCCATGTACAAAAATGTTTTTCCCATAATATACTCGTGGCATTTTCTCCACCCAGTGTCATTAACCACCTACACAGACGTCCAGTGAATTGAATTCCTTTTCAGTGCAAGGTATAAACTTACCAGCGTTTTTGTTTTTGTTTCGTTTTCATTCTTCAGTTAGCCCATAACCTAGCGTGCCTCCTAACTTTGTTAAAGGGTGAATTCCTTCAGAGAAGAAACTCCATATACAGCACAGCTGCGAGATCGGCTATTTTTGGTCTTTATTTATTTAAACATACAAGAGTGCATGTACATTGGCATATTATAAATAAACAAAATAATATTGTCTCTTTTTAAAAAAGAGGCATACTATCTAGTAGTAGCATAATATTGATTTACATGAAGTTTTTTTAAGATGAGCAATTTTGTAATAAGGTAAAATTCATAAAGATGTATGAATTTTGTGCTCATAGACTTTGTGGTATTTGTAATGTTTTAAATTTCTTTCAGTTAAAACTATTTCTATGTTAGAAGGCAATAGTACCATAATGTTATATGAAACTGTTTTCAAAGTATATTTTAAGTTAGATCACAACAATTTTCCTAATAAAATTTTTTTATCTTGACAGATTACCAAAGTACCAGTAGAGGAATGTGAGCAGTATACCACCTGCAACGAATGTCTTGGTGTCGGTAATGGTGCTGGTGACCCGTATTGTGGTTGGTGCACACTGATGAACAGGTACGAAAAAATCTTTCAAAAAGTTGATCTTTACATCTTTATTGAACATTACCATTTCCAACTGCCTAATAATATAACGCAGATTTCCACTTCAGTATTCTATCGTTTGAACCTCCTCAAATTTGATGTTTATTTTCGAGGAAAATTGACAATATACAGGTGTCTAACCTGACCTTTTTTGTAATTGTATTCCATTAAAGTCAGTCACAATTGAAAGTGTGCAGGGCGTTCGGTTCCAGGTGGTTGTTTTCTATAACTGCATTGAATAAAGTACCAGTATTTGTTGATAGATGTTGACAGGGGCAGTTAGTAAAACTAAGCAGAGTAAATTATGTGACCCAATTGTTATTGTCATGACTTACTATGTGTATTTCAAACATGATTTCTGATTAAAAATATGATTTAATAAGCTATTTTGCAAGTTTATAGAATCTTGCCAAAACATTGATATAAAACATAAATATACTCACAAACTAAATTTTCTTTCCCAATTTTTTCTTAAATTAAAAAAAAATTAAGTTGGGAGGATAGGGCTCCAGTGCCAGGTCAGCTGAGTCTCCACTTTGTCTCTGAAAATACCAAATTTCATATTTTATTTTGATAATTTTTTCACAATTCTCTGTAATGTATTTATATGCATAGATGGATGCATGGATGATTTAGTTCGATTTCCCTTTTCTGTTAACCTACTGATTTTTAGTATGGGTGTGTTTATATTAGAAAAGGGGAAAATTATAACACTTAACATCGGCTATCCAAATTAGGGAAATCACGACTGAATAAAAATGAGGGGAAAGAATGAATTAAGGACAGAGTTCTAACTTCCGCTCATAAATTTTGAGCTTCATATTGTGCCAACAGATAACATGTGACTGAAATATAGCCTTGTGACTTGAATGATTTCCATAATTCTAGGCTTGCTGGAAAGGCTGTTTTAAAAATTTGAATATTCATAACACAGGAAGTTTCCACTTAAGTTTCTCCCCAAGTTAATTTAGAAGGCAAGAAATCTAGTCCCTGGTGTCCAGACATGTTTAGCTTATATAACCTATCATACCTGTCTTGTAGAAAAGTGATTCTGATAGAAATAATACTGTGCATTTATAAAGTACATGTTGCATACATGTCTCAAAGATCCTTATGGTTTTTTTTAAAATAAGAAAATAAAGTTTGGAAATCAGTCCAATCTCTTTCTGCACTAGCATGTTCATTACATTTTCGTATTATTTTGGGTGATCTAAAAGAAACTTAAATGACTTTAAATTATAAATGCAGTGGCATATCTAGAAGTCTTGAAGTTGGGGTGCTGATGGGGGGGGCGTGAAGGTGAAGTGGGGGCCCTCAATGATCAGTTGAGGGACGCTAATACAGTAGATGATATTTAACTACTTGATCGTGATTTTTTTGAGGGGGGAACGTGCACACCCCCTAGATACGCCACTGTATAAATGGTAATATAAAAGTATGATTATATAAATACATATTAAAACCATGAGTTCAAGTTAATAAAATTTGACAATCAGGTAAATTTAATTAGAAAACATTTTTATTTTATCAAAACATAAAGAAATTGCATTTCAATAGACAACAGAAAGAAGTTCCCAAATTTTTGGCGAAGGTACATATAGTCAACTTAAGAGTAAATTCATTTTTAATATTTATGTGTAAATTGATGAATGGCATATAAGTGTTTTGAAATAAAGCATTTCTGAATGGAGGTATGGAACATCTTTAAGTTATTTTTGAATCTAAAACAATATTTTATACTCACTCTGATGTTTAATAGAAGCCAGATAAAATTGCTTGAATTCATTTTAAAATGAAAAATAATAATCATATTAATATTATTTTGCTTTTGTGTAACCCAAATTACAATTAAGTCAACTTGTATTGATATACCGATTTTTATTATAATTATTTTTGGCTTAGCATATCTTATTCATATTTATGAACTATTAGTGGCGCCAACTCCGGTTCTATCCAGGAATCAGGTCACTAGTGTTATGTGCTGTAAAACTTAATTTCAATATCATGGTACTAAATTATTGATTAAAGCAAAATTTGACTTCAAACTGAAAAATATCATGGTACCGTATCATTGTATAAATGTAGGTTAAGTATTAATTTCATATGCATCTACATATTTAGGCCTGTGTCATTGCTATGGGGTTCATTTTCATTGAAAATAATGTAATAATGTTACGCTATGCATTATTTATTAGATGAATTTCACAATTCAAGCTTTCATTACTTCAAAAATAATTATCCGAAAATTTGATCACTTTAAATATGGTTAGTAATATGACTGACTTCAGGAAAAGAATGAGGTTTAAACTGGGCATGATGAAATTCTAGAAAAATTGCCAGGATGTTCTGAAAATTGATATGAATGTTGTTACCAATAGGTCAATTTTGAAAAAAAATATATGCAAATGTTTTCAAAGTTTGTCTTTAATTATAAAATACCAACATTAATATTCAGATTAAATTATTTGTCTGTAATTTACATACTTAATAATATACAGGTGTTCCTCCAATTAAAGACCACATTTGGGACCGGGGTTTCCATGGTTTTTAGCACTTTTAGTCTAATTAGAATAATAAAAGATGTATGTTGGGGATCACAAAAAAGTGGTCTTTAATTGGAGATGTCTTTAATTAGGAGACCTGTATCTCTGTTTGCGCAGTATAAGAGTATGATATTAGTGATGCAGAAATTAATTCATTTTTTTCGTTATTTGTTAATACAATATTTAGAATATTTTAGAATAAATATAGTAATGGCATTCATAGTATTGAGTCATGAGCAATTGACCAAGTCCAAAGCCTACAGATACAATTAAGTATAGTAGTAGCTTAAGGATTGTGGGAATTACAACCAAATTGCTGTGCCATATTTGATTATGCAATCTCACAGTAGGCCTATAGCCTCAGAACACAAGTCAAAACATCTATTAGCAGACAGCCTTGAAATGAAAATGATGAATTTTTACTATACAAACTCTACTTTTTATATCACTGGAACATGTTGAAGAGTGTGGATGAAGGATTTGGATTCAGAGACAATTTGTCCATATACTGTATACTATCATTATCAATTAAAATCTGTAATTAATCCATGGTAGTACTGTTCATCATGATAGCTTTCCTCCAGTCATTGCTATTCTATGCAGTTGCATTGCTTGTGCCCCTCAACTTCCACTTATATATATGGAAATAGGTATTACCTATTTATTTAGTAATTTATTTAGAATTTATCAAGAAATGATGAAGATTTAAATTTGAATGAATAATCTATTCTATTTGGTTAATTAGAATTTTAAAATGGTAGATTTTTGTTTACACATTATTATCTGCCTGGAACACAAATAATGAAAACAATTGTAATACATATGTTGAAAGACAGAACACATTAAAAAGAAGAGAAGAGATTATTTTTTTAATATATTATGGATTGTAGTGATGTAAAGATTAATTTTTGTTAAATATTCACAATAGAAAAACACATGTACTATTTACAAAGCATTATCAGGTTAAATGGTCCATGGAGTATTAACTAACATGTGTCGGAAATAATATATCAGGGAAGGCTTATAGATTGGGTGGAGCTGCAGATTTTTTTTGAGGAGCAACATGTGCAATAATCTGGCACACTTTCTATTAAACCTACAAACTGGTTAACTGATTACCATTACTTCTGAATCACCCTGTAAGGAGTAAACGTCAATTCACTGGGCCTCGTGGTCTATGTAAACAGGGTCCACCGCAGGAAATTGTGGGTTGGCTTAAGTAAGAGAGGCTATAAACCCAGGTGAGGATTTGAACAATTGCCTTCATTTTCGTCCCCAAAAATGTGGCTAGGATCCACACACTGTGCATGTGCAATATAGGCATTGAGGCATTGCTCTGTGTATATGCGAGGCACCTCATACCCCTAAGAAACCCCTTAAACCAGTGAATGAACTGATTTAAACATCTTAGTAAATCTTGTTTTAAAGTAATTTATAAAATTTAACTTCTGTTTAAAAATGGTGAAGTGGTTTTAGCATAATTTGCAAATCTTCCTTACTATAATATTCATGGAAACGATAGGAAATTAAACATGACACAAAGTAATTTCTAGGCAATTAACAATTTCCTTCTAATTCAAGTAAATAAAGAGTGAGTATATAACGTGTAGATTTTTGATGACGCCAATTTTTAAGTACATTGATGATAATCTGCAAGTGCATCAAAAATAGTATTTAAATTTAAAAAATGTTATGACTGCAACTGTAACAAATGTAATTTGCATATTATTAATTTTATGTTAAAAACTAATCTTGGCAGAATTTTTTGAATAAATTTGGGTAGTGCTGTCCTGGGATTGTCTGTGTAGATTAACTGTTATATATAAAGCAACAAGGTAATTAAAGCTTAATCATATTTGTCTGATGAGTACCTTGATATTAATTAGTCAGTGAATCGTTTTAGCTGATGAGCCATAAACTGGCTTCATGGGATTGTCAGATATAGGGCCTCTGCATTTTATGGGTGCTTGGAAGGTATTGGGTAGAAACATATGGCGCCAGGTACTTGCTAAGCCAGTATAATTCCGAGGATTACATGGACTTACCTGGCTGATAATCACACATTAGGCCTAGATCTTTTTATTCTCTTTGATTAGCACTGTCCTTGGTATCTGTTTATGTTTTGTGTCTATAAATGATTTTCAAAGGATTCTTTATTTTTTTATTTAGATTAAAATCAGAGTTCATCCATCAATCAGGATTTCCATGTTACAAGCTCAGAAAGAGAGAATTCCCTATTTCCTCCCCTTGTTTTCTGATCCTCCCCACTCAGGGTAAATGAAAGTTTTAAATCATGCAAGAGGTATTTTTATTTTTTAAACTTTCTATCCCATCAAAAAATTAAATTTGAATGTGCAATGTAGACTTAGCTGCATGGTATTTCATTTTATAACAAAATATAAATCTGGTATAAAGTATGGTAATATTTAA